AGCAGCCAGAGATCCCATTGCGACGCCTCGTTCCTGTCTAAACAAGTGGCCATTGATCTCAAAGTGGCTGTTGTTGATGACAAAGTCGAGGAGCATGTGCAGATCCTCTTCGCGAAAAATCCGTGGGACTTTTGTTTGCCGGCGCCACTTGCCCTTGAACATGCGCCGCCGATGGTCTGACTTGACTTCAAACACAGACCAGTGGGAGACATTACGCGGTCCAACCACTTGATCATATCGATGAAGGAGCGCTTGAAGAGCTTGATGAAACCGCTCTGTGGGGATAGAAGTGAAGAAGCTGGACAAGTCTTGTGACAGCAACTGTATGTATTCTGCGCGGTCCGCGGAAGACAATGCTTCCCAGAGCTGATGCACGAGATCCTGAACTGATAGCTGGCCCGGGACATCCGGAAAACTGATTTTGGTGAGCTCAAAGATGAGGGCCCCGAAGACCGTAAGGAGAGGTGCTGCCCGCGTACGGAAGAAAGAAATGATTGGCCTCGCTTTGGGCCAGTCCTTGGTAGGTTTGGGCAGAATGCGTGCAGTAGGAAGAGGAGCTTGAAGTCGCAGTCCCCACGCATATCGTTGTTGCAGTCGAGGAGGCATCGTAGTGATTACTTGCGCGTGAACGGCAGGTTCTCTGCATAATGCAAATACTTCTCCAGCGCAGAAGGTCTTGTGCAACAGGACGGAAAACAAGGCTTGGCAAATCACATGAGTACGTGAAGGAAAATGATCAGCCGGAATGACAACCCACGCATTAATTGAGGGGACGAGCCGTGGGTTGTAACGATTCCGAGGTCCAATAAGCCTGGTCTTGGACATTGCAGCGATGCTCATCAAATAATTCAGACAAGACAGGCCTGGAATCAACTTCAAGACTGGACCCTTGTCCCTCCATCTGCGAGCCAATTTGCGAAGCTGTGAAGTGAAGCGTTGTTGAAGTTGATCAGCATCACCAAAGTATTGATCCTTCATGGAGGCGGACATAATGTCGGAGTCAATAGTGGCATTGATGAATCTGAAATCGAAGTCGATGCAGCGGCAAGGAAAGGAAGTGTCCGGAGTCCATCTTTGCTGCCATTTGCGGTAGTTGTAAATACGATCACCTGGGGTCGCACTGCGGGTTTCGACGACGCGGATCTTAGGAAGGAATAATGAAGGGAACAAACTCCGATGCGATGCCACCCACCGTTGTAGCCAGGTTCCTAGGCGCGCTTTCCAGTCTCGAGCATGTAGAGGTGGAAGTAGCAATTGTGTCAAAGTGACTGGAAGCGAGCCAACCATTACTGGCTATTCTGTGCGATTCCTATTGAGATCCGACTCCCCACTTTTTCGGTGTGGGTCCAGGAAAGCAAATGGCAATACACGCTTCGACCGCACTTAAATGCGCCCTGGGTGCAGACTTCTTCGGAAAATTGGATTTCGTGAACATTTAGTTGACTTCAGGCGGCACTCGATCTCATCGTCTACGTCGTTGTCGCTTCACAAACGTTTTCGGCGACGACTGCATCCGAATTTACATCGTCAACTACGACCTGAGATGCTAGACGACATTCAGGCACACTACTCTACTTTGTATCAGCTTGGATCTAGTACTGGCGCGTCGTTCCAAGCGATGAGAGACCTTCTCTCTGCGGCTTTCCCGCCGACTCAGCTTTATTATTTTCTAGGTTCAAAGAAAGCACGCTGGCCACGCAGGAGTTGCAGATATTTGCGGCATCGGGAATGTTCCCTGCGCAGGACATCCTGATCTGTGGCTCCAATGTAGTACGGGCTGTGCCATGGCGAGATCCTAATGTAGACACATGGCTGTTGATGATGTCCAAAATCTTGTATGAAGCCATATAGGTCAGGAAGGCGAGCACATCTGCGAATGTAGAGTACATGATGTCGCGAAGCAACAACGTTTTGTAGAAATGAAGCACTTCAAAGAATGGAGGAAGATATCCATTGTCTTGCGAAACAAGTCGTTGTAAGAAGCAAACAAGCAGATATGCTGTCATTCGGCATCTATGCAGCTCATATCGGTTGGCCGCGGCTTGGCGTGTATGGGACACTGCTGTCATCGGAATCTGGAGCGCGATGCGGACAAGAGTGAGCACTCCCAGGATCATGTCTAAATGAGCTAAGTGTTGAATTGATTCAAACTCATCTGCGGGTACTGGAGGTCGAGGTAGTTCCGGGAAGCAAAACCACCAGCATGCCGAGACAAACGTCAAAGTTTCCAGGAAGGTAGACAAAGTACTCCATTGCACAACTTCATCGAAGATTCCACTGCGCTGAAACTCAGTCCACATGTTGCAAGATTGTTCAACAGCGGCTATAAGGTGGCAGCGACATGCATCAACGCAAGTCAATGTTCAAGTCATGCAAACACACATGATGACAAGCATGCGTATGAATAGGGTGGATGCAGTTCAAGGCAAAGTGCAAGGCATGACAAGCAAACAAGGCAATGACATGTAAGTTTTCAATCGCAAATCATGCCGATGCCTGCCACTCCGGGCTCATAATGGCTGTGACGGGATCACTTCATCCTGCAAGAAGTCGAGCAGTCACAAGGAGCAGGCATAGTGCCTTGTCCGTGAGCTTAGTGCTGTAGACCGGCTCAAGCCCCCACAAAGAAGCCATGGAAGCAAAGGTAGGAGCATCTCCTTTCGCCAAACGTTGACGTGCTTGTTGAAGTTGAACTGCCATAGCATCCAGAGATTTGTTGCCATTGTGGCGGGATGGGTGATTGGCCCACTTCATCAATGCCGGTATAGTAGTGGTTGTAGGAGCCTGCTTGAAAAAGATGCGAGGTTGGTCACTGGTCCAGGTGTAGTGCTTGATGATATCTTCTGGCGTGCTGCGCGCTGTCAGCAACTTCGATGTGACCTGCTTGGCAGTGTTGAGGTTGAACATCGAAGGACTTGCCATCAAGGGCGGCCGCGCTCACCGTTGGCAAGGAGTTGGTTGGAGTAGAAGACTGCGAGTGATTTAGCGGCGGTGGCGTGACCAGCTCCGCATCATCATTGCGGATGTTAGCCGTAGAAGGAGGGGACGATCGCTGCGATGCTGAGTACTGTGCTTGGAGCAGCTCATGTTCGCGTTTGAGGTTGTGATACTTCTGCAGCGTGTCTTCTTCCGGGGAGCGGGCTTTGATGGTTTGATGATGTTGATTCAGGAATTCCAGGATGAGATTGCCGAGGTGCTCATGAACCTTAATCCGCTGATTGAAGTCGTCAATGTTGAGGCCCATCGAACCGGCAAGGTCCTTTTCCAAAGTGAGCAAGTTGAGGGGCTGGGATCTCGGTGCGTGTACGATCACAAATCGTCCATGTGCAAACGGTCTCAGGAGCCAGTTCGAAATGCCACCGTGGATGACCTGAACCAGGCGAACGTCACGAACGTCCATGCCCGACATCTCACGTTGCGAATTGTGAGGAGTGTTGGCGACCTTCATGGGTAGCGAGATGGAGTATAGGGGATTCTTGTCCAGCAAGCCCCCACCGGGTTGCCACTCCTCGGGTGGGATGAGCCACGACTTCTTAGGCTGCACTGGTAACGGAGACGGGTGGCTCGTTGCTGCCGCAGGTTCCGGGTGACGTCCTTGTGTGTTGTCAGGTAGCACCATTGTCGTCTTCATGTTCTTGGTGGGTTCGGGCTCCGGAGGGAACGGCGTTGAGTAGTTAACCAGCGGGCACTGGTGGAAGCACGGCGCTGAATGATGGAACTGCGCCACCGGTGGGGGAGGAGGTTGTAGGTAGTCTGCGACTGCGGCATGGAACTGGGAGGATTGATGTTCGGATTGTACTGCCACATCATCGGGTTGGACCAATCCATGCCGTCCGAGACCATGGTGGTGTCAGATTCACGTCTGCGAGCTTTGCGAGGCGGAGTAGGGCTCCTGTCCCGTCTACGTCGAGTTCTGGATCTGTCACGATCATCACGGCGGGACATGACGACTCAGCGAACCCAGGTGATGGCACATACCAACCTTGAGAAAGACTAAGACCGACAAGCTTCAACTCCATGACAACGCAAGATCATGTCAAGTTCAAATCAACACAAGGCAAAGCATGAAAAGATCAGCAAGCAGCGCCCAGGCGCCCGTGAGACGTCACTATGATTTGGTGGCTGTCTTCCCTGTAGTGAAACCTCGTTCCTGCTTAAACGTGAAGTTCCGCTGAACTATGATATGAACGTTGAGGTCAAATTTTCCGGCGAACCGGCCCGGGGTCACACGATGGGTACACCCGAGGTTCCCCCAAGATGGGGTCCGTTCAATGCTGCCCGCGCCCCCTGCGGTAACCAGAGCCTAAAGGTGGTGGCAGGGTATTCTGCCACTCCGCACACACACAAACACAAACACAAACACACACAAGCGGACACACACACACACACACACACACACGCACGCCAGCGCGCAAGCACACACACACACAGAGACAGACAGCAACCTACCCAACCACCCAGGCACGCACGTGCGCGCACACACACACACACACACACAAACACACAAACACACGCAAACACTTACACACACACACACACAAACACACACACACACACACACACACACACACACACACACACACACACACACACACACACACACACACACACACACACACACACACACACACACACACACACACACACACACACACACACACACACACACACACACACACACACACACACACACACACACACACACACACAGACACACGCGCAGGCACAGGCACACGCGCGGGCACAGCCACACGCACAGGCAGAAGCACACGCACACGGACGTGCACGCGCACGCGCAAACGCGCATGCCCGCATGCACCGCAGGCCATGCACCGCACAGGCACACACGCACTTACGTTCTCATGCGCGCACGCACGCAAACGCGCGGGCGCACACGTGTTCACGCACACACGCACGCATTCTGGGACGACATCTCTGGAGAGTGTCTGCAGGGCATGATTGCCAGCAAGTTGGCACCGGAGTTTCTGCTTCAAAGGCACGGATCATGCTTGTGTGGAGCTTGGCTGATCCCTTCACTGCAGAAGTGGCTGCCATTGCTGCCACCACAAAGTTCAGAAACGTTTTCTGAAATATGTCTGACACGATGCCCACCTTAGTTCTCAAACGGGGCACTGCGACGTGCTTTGCTCACGTGCTTCACTTGTCAGCTTGACGCCTCACAGCTCCGAGGAGCGCACGGCAAGCACAAAGCCAGCACCCTCCGGGCATCGCTGACAAAGATCTGGGTAGTTGTCTCGTGCCCATCCGACCGGGCATTCGCCACAGAGCATCCCAGTCGAACCTAGTGCATAGCCATGCACGTAGCAATAAGCAATACAGGCAAACTGTGGATCCCTCAGTGAATTGACTTTGAATGAATCGTGCAACCCTGCCTTCTGCACACGCATTTCCTTGGTGCAGTCGCGGCACAAATGCGAGGAACAACTGTGAATGTGACGAGGGGGGGTTGCTGGAGTGCGCACATCAAAGGGAAGGAAAAGAGAACGCGCGCCACCGTTGTGGAAACCAAGCTTCCACGCAGGCCGTTGCACTGTTTTGGGGGAAGTAGACCCAGTCTTTGTGTTGTGCACCCGTCGCCACCTGCGCCATTTGTATTGTTCAAATAATGAAGGGCCAACGCATTTCCGTTGCCAAAATTTGAAACAAGCGCCCAACAATGAAACACTAAATGATGTTGCCAGCCGTTATGTGAATAATGCCATTTGTGGTTTACTATTTGTTCGGGTGCCCCCTGCCACCTCCACAGACTGTGGCGCCGTCCGGGAGAAGGACGTCGCACTCGACAGCTGAAGTGAGGCCAGTCTGGAAGAATCCAGGCCTCTGACCAGCGACCAGTGGAAAAACCCTGGCCTTCAAGCATTTTCACTTTCTTTATGATCCAAGTTTCGCCCTCTCCTTGCTCTCCCAACTAAGACTTTAAGCAGCAAACTCAAAGTGTCAGATAAGATTCGTTGCCCGTGGCTGGGCATGGATCTTCGTCCCATTCTGCTCTCCCTCAAAGCCCCCGGGACAAGTGAGGCCAGAATAGCTGCAGGATGTGCAACTGGCCAGCTTCCCGGCGCTATCTATGTGCGCGTGGTACCGTGGTTGGCAGAAGCAATCGTCCAGAGATGTGGATCCCGGCTCGCTATCTGCATTTGTGGGGCAGGTGAGCGCACAATCTCCATTTCCGATAGTGGCTTTATACTTTCTTCGAGGACAGGGCTCACAAAAATCTGCGGCGGATGCAAAGTAGTATCCCGCAAGGCAAACACAATCGGATAGCTGCCTGCCCAGCGCGATTGTCGTAGAATTGTCAGGGCATACCACTGCCTGCCCAGTTCCAGGACAGTAGTGGCCGAACGTGCACTCCACGCAGGCGCCACTTTCGTCGGTGTATAGGCCAGCCTGATTTGCAACTGTGCTTCTTTCCTCCTTGCCCACACCTAACGACGCTAATCTGCGACAAGAAGCTTCGCAGCGGCATTGCTCAATGGCAGTGGCGCCAACTTCGAGAGTTGACGTCTGCGCTGGACACCTGGTGCATATCCCATTGTCCACGGTTGCCTGGTACAGCATGACAGCAGGAGATTGGAAAAGTACCAATGCATGACCAACACATCGAATCTTTACCCCTAGCCTTGTACTCCCCCAAGTTGCAGGGCTCACAAGTTTGCAACGTGGGGTCGAAGCCATGGCCAAGGCTGCACTGGCAGTCGGCAGCACTTAGCACCGGCACACCTGCAACGGAATCTGGAACGTTACGTTGCATCTTCCAACTCGGCACATCACCCCAGTTTGATTACTGCCAACAGCAGTAATTGCATAATCAAGAAACCACTGGCCTGGAGGAACCGACTGCTTCGGTGGGCACTTGACGATCGAGGATGTCCGCGTCACCCTCGACTCTGCCACTACCGTAATGCCAGAATCGCCCAGCGTCCTGTCAAGCGTCTCAAGATTTGAAGCAAGAGCCAAGCTAGCCACCTAGGTAGCTCAACAACACAGAGCTCAGTCAGGGCACGGATGCTGTTGCACTGCTGTGAGAATCTCGCTTGTCAGGGAGTCTGCCTCGGATGCAAGGCAGACGAAACGTCATACTTGAGCAGAAGGTGGCACAAGGTAGCGCAGTGGCAAGGCCTCTGCCGATACCCCGTGATGCTGCCTGCTGGGGAAGTCTGAAAATGAGGCATCTCCAGCAGGCAGTTGGGCCCTTTGCCTTTTTCCAAGCAGAGCAGCCATGCATGGTGCAATCGCACTTGGCACGGCAAGCTGTTGCAACAGAGCTATCGGGATGCTAGCAGAGCAAGTTTCAGAAACCGTACCTTTTGACCTCAGACTGAGGGACTGCATGCTGAAAAGGGCCATACATTAACATGGCAGAAGGGTCTGGAGATGTTTGTGGTACAGCTATGGCATGTGGACAAGTTCAGGACGAGAACTTACCCGAATTGTCCCTGTGTCCGGCCCATCTGGCAAGAATCTCCTAGAATTGAGGACCGGGGAGTAAAGTAGCAAGAAGCCCTGTCCAATTGAAGTGAGCGGCATCCATATCAGCTGCTGTAATGGTCGCTTCCTCCACTGACCGCTGCTTAATCGTGACCACGACCATGGAAGCTGACAGGCGACGCCCCGTTGCATTGGAGGTGTTGGTGAGCACCAAGCCAATGAAGTCCTTGATTGGCTTAATCCACCCACGGATTGAATTCGTTGTGCTCAACCGTGCAGTGCCGTGCAGCGCATGTAAACCAAACAAACATACATAATCAAGGGTGGCGTCAATCTGAATAGCATCTGCGCTCAGCCTGGTTGCGGATGCCAACGTATTTTTGAAGATGGCCTGGGCACGGCTGGAAGGCCTGGACAATGAGAGAATCGGATTCTCATGCCAGTTGAAATTGCCCAGGTTCGCAAGAACTTAAACCACAAACCCCCAGGCACGTTTGCATGGCCAGCGTGAGCATGGGAAAATGTTGCTAGGCTGGCTGACACCGCACACGCAAACTCCAAAATCGACTGGTTCGTTTTTGGCGCTTGGCTCGCGCGTTATCAATGGGTTTGACCAGTATCCTTCGAAGCCCTGTTTGCAGTGCAATGTGTGTGTGTGTGTGCGCCCGTAGTAGAGGAGAGGAAGCAGGAAAGGAAGGAAAAGAACGGGAAAGAAAAGAGGAGGATAAGGAAAGAGAGGAGGGGAAAGGAAGAACGAAAGGAGGAATAAGAAAGCCCAGACCAGGATGCCCAAGTCCAAAGTGAAATGCTTCAACGCGGCAAACAACCTGTGTAGACATTGTGCTGAACATGCGCTCTCCGGTTGACACTCTAACACATGCAAAGGCTGCCCAATCGCACCCGGGCTGCTATGAGCTGGTTTCTGAGAGACTCTGCGTCTTGATTGGTGGGTAGGTTGGCCAGGGACATGTTGAAGGAAACCGCAGGCACCTCCGATTCGTTCTTCGTCAGCAACTCTACTAGGTCTGGAGCTGTGTCAACTGTGGCATTGGAGGCATTGCTGACATTCGTTTCATTGTCATCCACATTTGCAGTTGGAGCCCCTGTGGTCAAGCTAGGCGAAGCAAAGCAAGAAGAAGAGAACACAGAGCCAGTGTTGTAGGTGATGTAGCCGTCGGGGCATGCGTCACATGTCTCAAAGTTACCAGGCTGCGTCTTGTAGAAGCCAAGCGGACAAGGCGAGCAAGTGAGAGCAACTGTGTCATAAACGTATCCACGGTCGCAAACGCAGGCATCGCTGGTGACCTGAGATGGCAAGCGTAACTTGAACTGGCTGAGCAAGCAAAAGCAAGGAGAAACTGCTTGAAACCAAGAGGCAAAGCCCAATCCAAGAGTAGTTTGCCCATCAGCACAGGGCACCCTCGTGGCCAGGCTTGGGCTGCCCCCAGCGCAGTAGTACCCACGAGTGCAATTGTTGCATATCTGGCCTTGCCGCAGGGGTCCACTCTTCACGATCTTCACCCTCCTCTCTCGATCCCCCCCCCCCCCCCAAAAAAAAAAAAACGCCTCTCGGAACCGCTCTCCGCCCCTGCCTGACGAGGGCCCAAGCGCGAACGTACCTTGTGGGCAGTCCACCTGGAGCTGGCCTGCTGGGGCGCGGAAGGCCTGCGTCGTGCAGTTGCCGGTCCTTGGGCACCAGCACAGGGAGTAGCGCCCCGGCGCGCCCAGATCTGGGAGAATGCCCAACGGCACCTCCAGGCCTGCGCTGCCCATTTCCAAGGCTAAGGGCTGCTGAAGCAGCGGGTAGCCCTGCGCCCCAAGGCCTGTGGAGCTGCCGCACTGGCCCGCAGTGATCAGCAGCTTGTCGCCGATGTCGAGACCGATGCCCGACATTTGCACGGTGCAAGCGCTGCCAACCTCGCAGGTGGTGGTCTGCTCAAAGGGCCCGCTGGCCGTCATGAGGCCAACCCTGGCTCGGAAGCTGGTGGAGGAGTTGCACACCTCTGAGCCGAGGGGCTTGCAGAAGCAGACCCTGAAGATGCCGGGCACTGACATCAAAATATTGCTGACCTGGCCAGAAAACTCAAAGGTGGCGCCATCAATGGTTTCCAACAAGCCACCTGCAGGGAAGCCAGGAATTGCAGCTCCCTTGCCACAGTCAGAAAGGACCATGAGCCGATCTCCATCCTTCATGCCGACACCCCGAATCCCTGTAATGCTGCAAGCTTGCCCCACAGAGCAAGCGCTCTCTTGGTTTGTATTTGGCCCAGTCACACGCAAACGTCCAGCGTTCACATCAAAGCTCTGCGGAGTGTTGCAGGCATTGGCCAAGCCCCGCTCGCTTGCACACCAACAGAGGAAGTATCCCGCATCGCTCGCATCCAGCGAGATATGGAAATCACTGTCCGCATCAGAGGTTCCAAAGCCAAGAAGGAGCACGTCAGCGGGTGCGGCTCCAGATCCATATCCATATCCATATCCATTGACAGATCCATTGACAGATCCATTGGCTGCCTGAGGGGCGCCAAGAGATCCATTGGCTGCCTGAAGGGCGCCAAGCCCGTCCAAGTTGGACGGGCTGATTTGTGACGCTGTCTCGCCGCCACACCCACCACGGCGTACAGCCACCTGATCTGTTTCCAACAGACCGTAGCCAGAAAATGCCAGGTTCATGCAGTCTGCACCACGAAGGCACTCAAGCTCATTGTAGTTCGGACCAGTTACCGAAAGCTGACCAGCAGAAAGCAGGAAGTTGCCACTGAGGTCATCGCAAGAAAGGGGTCCCATGTTGGCGCACCAGCACAGGCTGTAATTCCCACCGAATGGGAGAAAATCCGTGGACACTTCACCCCAGGCATACGTGCTGCCATTGTTGGTGGCCAGTTGGGAGATCCCGCTGGCCACAATGTATGGCACTGCCAACATGATAGGGCCGCACCAGAAGCCAACAGCAAGGCGGTGACCGTTGCGCAAACCGAAGCCGGTGATATCGTCGGCAACGCATAGCCGACCGGAGACGCAGTTCCGCGTCTGGCCTGGGCCCGGGAGCACACAGAGCGACTCACTGGTGCCAGCCGCTTCAGTGGTGGAGCCTTCCACGCAAGAGACGCAACTCGTCCCGGATGCAGCGCCCGTTTCGTTGCTCCACTTGCCAATGGGGCAGGGCAAGCACGTGCCGGCAGAGGTGGCACCGACAGTCGCAGAGAAGCGGCCAGGTAAGCAGCTCTGACAAGATCCCGAACCTGTAGAGTATTCACCTGCAGCACAGGCAAGGCAGCTGGACTGCCCTCCCTCCCCAGAGAAAGTGCCAGCAGGACAATCCTGAGCTTTGCTTTATCCCATGCTCACACAGGCTCTTCACCCTCCAAAACTAAAAACATCACACATGAAAAGCGAAAACCCCGCCACAATTCTCAGCCAAGGAACAGCACATTCTGCATTTCCGGCCTCCGATTTGAACTTGCCGGCTACACACGCCTCACAGACTCCAAGCCCAGCATCGCGAAAGCCCGCTGCACAAAAGCATTCCGAGTCGGAACTGGCTATTCCATTCACGGTTGTCTGCGACTCATCACATGCCTGTCTGTGGGTGCCTCCAAGACAATAAAACCCAATGCCACACTCTTCACAACTGGACGGATTCTGGGGGTCGTGGTTCACATACCCACCAGGGCACGTACAAGCAGAGTAAGCAATGGCGCCTACTTGTAGTGTGGTGAGCGGAGCAGGGATGGAAGGGAGCGAGGGGCAGCTAGTGCAGCTGGCATCCTCAACCGATGACTTGTACTTGCCTACAGGGCAGTCAACACATCCAGCGCTTAAGCCGCCTCCAGCCCCACCTGGCTGCTTGCCATGCGGGCACTTGCATGCTGTCAAGTCCTTGACGAATGACCCAGAGTGTAGCCCCAACCCGTCAGGACAAGCAAGCAAAAATTGCTCCACTGGCGTTCTGTTGTGCAACTGTGCGGAGTCCAGAGCAGTCCCTGCCATTGACTGAAAGATCCAAGCTGCAAAGGGGGATGGGTCAAACGCGTCATGTAGGCCCTCAGCCAACTCCAAGTCGGAGCTCGAAACTTGAAAATCCACATGCCAGCTGAAGTTGACATCATCAAACCGGACAGCCAGGTCAAGGGATGACCTGGAGCTTAAGCCTAGCATCTGTCGCAGCTCATCGTCCACTTCTACAAGCAAGCTTTCCGTGGACGCATCTGCCACTTGCAGAGAGCCGCCAAACCTGTGAATGTAAGCCTGAGTCGCAGCAAAGATTGCATCAGCACTGGAGTTGCTGGACAAGCCCATAAGCTCGCTGCATTGCAAGCTGTCAAGTGAAGGATCCGTGTCAATGGCATCCCCAGAGCAGTAGCACTCCCAAACATTGGCTGCGCCTGCCAAAGATGTGGTACCTGACGGGCATAGCCGCTCACATTCAGTCAGTCTGCCCACTTGGTCCTTAAATGTTCCTGCAGGACAGGCTAGGCACGCGGCAATCGATGCATCCCAGAAACTGCCCCGCCGACACTGGCACTCCTCAGGCAGCTTGGATCCACGAGGTGACGTGCTGCCTGACGGGCAATTCCGCAATTGAGCTGGCCACCCTCCTGGGCAGTAGTAGCCTACAGGGCACTCCTGACACTTTGTCTCTTCGCCATACAGCTCATACGTGCCAGGAGGGCATTGCACATACAAATCCATTGCAAGTGCGCGGAACTCTTCTGGCGCGCTGCACGGGCTTCTGGCCGAGCACCAGCACAACTTCAACCCTTCAGGCTTCCCTCCCTCCAACTGCAAGTGCCCAAAATCGTAGACAGTGACAGAGTCGTTGAGGGTGCCATTGATTGGCAGCGGATCTGGAAAGGTGCCACTGGCAACGGCACTGCCGCAGCCAGCCAGTGGAACCAGCCAGTCACCACTAGCAAGGCTGACGCCCCTCAGGCCAGTCACCAGGCACTGTGAGCCCAGCGAGCAAGAAAACCATTGGCCTGAGTATGGGCCGACAGCAATGAACAACCCTGCAGCCACGTTGAAATCCGTTCCCTGCACACACTGAACACCTGTGACGTTGCCCGTGGCATTGCTTGGCCGGCACCAGCATAAGCGGAAGAAACCAGGGTCAGAGGTCAAATACGCAGTTGGATCAAACAGCCCATCGGAATCAACAAACCCGAATTGATAACCGTCACCAGTGATGGCATATCCTTCACCTGGAAGCCCTCGCAAAAAAAAACTCTCACCACACTGCTCTTGGGCAGTGAGCCTGTCACCCTCTGCCAGATTCACCCCGTCCGGTAATGCAGGAAAGCAGGGCTGCCCTTGAAAGCACTCGATCTCTGCCCCTGTCCCAGGCCCTTCAACGATGAATTTGGCCCCAAAGGCCTCCAAGTACAAGGTGCTGGTGCCGGCAGGGCTCAAGTCCATGTTGTCACAGCTTTCTCCCTTGGAGGAGCACCAGCACAAGCTGTACTCACCAGCAGCAATCTGCACCACATCTGACAGAGCAAAGTACAATTCAGTCTCGCCATTTGCGCCGCTGAGCGCAGCCACGTTCATGCTAGTTGAGCTGGATCCCCTTGCCCAATCCAAGCTGCAGCCTTTCCGGGCCACAAGCCGGTCATCTGCAGTCAGGCCCAGCCCCCTCAATGGGCCTTTCTGAATGCAAAAGGACCCCTTGACACAGGTGAAGGACTGGTCAATGTAAGGGCCTGAAACCATGACAGGGCCAACATCTGTGAGGTACTTGCTTTTGTCCGCACATGTCGCGCTCAAGCCCCCGCACCAGCAGAGCCGATAGCTTCTTGGGTCCGCCTGCACTAAGCCGGACCAGGTATAGTTGCTGCCACCGTTTTTCGAACGCCCATCTGTTCCAAAACCCGCAACCGGCGAATCGTTAGGACCACCATCCCCATAACCATAATCTTGAAGTCGTCGAACACCATAGCCAGCCCCATACCCCGAGCCTGAGCCCCCATAGCCGCCTGAGCCACCGCCATAAGTTGAGGTGCCTGAACCACTGCCATAGGTCGAGGTGCCTGAACCACCGCCATAAGTTGAGGTGCCTGAACCACTGCCATAGGTTGAGGTGCCTGAGCCGCCGTAGGTTGAGGTGCCTGAACCGCCCCCATAAGTTGAGGTGCCCGAGCCACCGCCGTAGGTCGAGGTGCCTGAGCCACTGCCATAGGTCGAGGTGCCTGAGCCACCACCATAAGTTGAGGTGCCTGAACCATAGGTCGAGGTGCCTGAACCACTGCCATAAGTCGAGGTGCCTGAGCCACTGCCATAAGTTGAGGTGCCTGAGCCACCGCCATAGGTTGAGGTGCCTGAGCCACCGCCGTAGGTCGAGGTGCCTGAGCCACCGCCATAGGTCGAGGTGCCCGAACCACCGCCATACGTTGAGCCACCGCCATAAGTTGAGGTGCCTGGACCACCATAGGTACCGGGACCAGGAGTACCCACTGCATTTACATCGCAAATATCAGTTTTCACCATAACTGAGTGAGTGTTACTCAGGTTGACTCCCTGAAAGTTCAGAATCCAGCAAGGCTTGCCCACGACACACTCAAATGATTGATTCGCTGCTGGCACGATGCAGGAATCAGCACTTGTTGCACCTGCTGACAATGTGCTTAGGCCAGGGCAGTCTGTGCAAGCTGATTCACTTGGGGCACCAACCATGTCTGAATACTTGCCGATGGGGCATTGTGTGCATTGCGTGGCGCCAGGATCGCCGGAATACCGGCCAGCCTCGCATGATGTGCAGCTCACATTTCCGGCTCCTGCCCAGTAGGTCCCTGGCTGGCACTGCTCACATGCATTCTTATAAAGGCTTGGCACTTTGCCAGCCTGACAGCGCGTGCATCTTGTAGCGCCATAATCGGAAACACTTCCATCAGCGCAAGGTTGGCAAGCTGTGTGGTTTGCCAGCGCGAACTCCCCAGCCATGCACTGGACACAGTAATATGCTCCTGCGTCGGAATACTCGCCGTCGTTGCAGTCCACACAAAACTCATCAACATAATCTTTCTTCTTGCCTGCAGGACAGTTCTCACACCGCGACCGAGATGCGTCAGGATACTGGCCCTCACTGCATGGATCACAGGTAAAGCTGCCGTTTGATGACATGGTCCCAACTTTGCACTGTGTGCACTGGAATGCTTCCGCAGAGGAATAATATCCTCCAAAGCATTCGAGGCAAAACTCACTGCCTTCTGGGGCATACGTTCCAGCATCGCAAGATTGGCAAGAACTGCTGTGTTCCCAGGAATATTTTCCGCGAGGGCAGTCTGCGCAGCTGTCCGAAGCGTCCGAGCTATATTTGCCAGCTGAACATGGCAAGCACTCTGAGTGGTTGAGTGACGCATAAGTTCCACCAGAACAGCTCATGCACTCAGATTGCCCCACCCATTCTGCAACGGTCCCTGTGCCACATTCTGTGCAAGAAAGGCCTGATGCCGAATAGTTTCCAGCGGTGCACATCTCGCAAGCACTTGCATCTGCATTTGGTCCATGGCCTGACGAACATGGACGGCAGGCAATCATGCCAAAGTTCTCTGCAGCACCTGAGGCACATGCTGCGCACTCGGTGTTGCCAACTGCACCGCTGAATTTGCCTGGCACACACTGTTCACAGGCACTTGCGCCGGAAATGTTGGAAGCGTGCCCCAAGGGGCAAGGCAGGCAAAGAAGTTCCAAGGTGTGCACCTTCCAGTTAAGGCCATCATCTTCCAAATACTTCCCCGGCAAACACTCTGTGCAACTGGTGGCACCATCGTTTTCGGAGTACTTGCCTGCTGGGCAAACGTGGCAACCACCATCTTGCACGTAGAAACCTGTTGTGCAACTTTGGGATGCTGCTAGTGACAGCACGGTAAGAAAAATGAAAACGACATTACACCCATTCGGGTGGCAATTCATGACCATGCAGCAATCGCGCAACAAAGGGTCGCATGTTTTTGCAAACCCACAGCTGCAACTTGGGCCGCGCGGCTGCAAACATGAAAAATGAGACTCCCGACCTGCAACCATTTGCGACCCATAAGCACACGCATGCTGCAAGCCACACACCACCCACCCACGCGCGCCCACGCCCACGCCCGCGCCCGCACCCCCGCCCACGCCCACGCCCACGCCCACACCCACACCCACACCCACACCCACACCCACACCCACACCCAAACACACACTTAAACTCCAGATGGAGGGTGCTAATCTTTCGAGTACAACTGGTAAGTTTCGGCTTGGATAAGGTTCTTCATGCATAAGTTTCGGCTCGCAATGCACTCGGCTTCCCTCTAGTGTCGAAAACGTTACCCGAAAGAACAAGAAGCACAAACAGCGCCGCAACCAAGGGGGCCAAAAGGACGTTGCATCACGGCAGGTACGTCAGTCCAGCGTCCTGGACTGATTTCACGATCCAATGGTGCGGTCTTTGTTGGGCGATGCACACCAAAGGAATCATCGCCCCCCTGCGCTCAATTGTGGTGACAGGGTATTCTGCAACTCCGCACACACACGCCCCTCAGTGAGGGGCGAAAAGTCTCTTTTTTCGGGGGGAAGAAGAAGCGCCCGAAAGACGGACGAAGACCCCAACAGAAAACAAACGGAGCAAGAACCCAAAAGGAACAGAAAGGCCCCACGTTGGGTCTCCGCGGGCAAAACCCCAACCAAGAAACACGAAAAGCGGGAAGCCGAGTTTAGGGTCACCGCCGAGGGCAAAGAACCCCAAACAGTCTAGAAACCCTCCTAAACCTTGTAGAGAAAGAGCACCGCGAAGTTGAAGAACGACACCACGAACACGCCATCCCTAAACGGGCGAAGAGGAACAACCGGAAGTAGTGAAAGGGGAGAAGAAAAGAAGGAGAGAGCGAGAAAGAGAGAAAGGAGGAGAAGGGCCGAGATGCGTATTTAGGGCGCCGCAGCCCGCCCGGGGGAAGGAGAAAGGAACGCAAGGGAGAGAGAAGAAGAAGAAGGAGAGAAAAGAAGACAAAGGGAGCGAGATGCGTATTTAGGGCGCCGCAGCCCGCCCGAGGAGAGGAGAAAGGAGAAAAAGAAAAGGAAGAGGGAAGTAGTATGCGTTTTTAGGGCGACGCATCCCGCCCAGACAGGAAGAGAGGATGAAGTCCAAAGCTCGAGGAGGAAGACGACGAATCCCACACAGGGGCCAAGAGGACGAACACGAAATAGCAACGGAAGTGGAAGAAGACGTCAAGCCAAACTACGTGAGGAAGAAGAGGAGTAGGAACAGGAAGACAGACACGAAGACGACGACGAGGAAAAAGGTGAACAACGCGAGGACACCCAGGCCATCCCTAAGCGGGCGAACAGGAGGAGGGCGAACGCGCGGGTCACGAAAGGCAGCAGGAAGAGAACGGGAGGAAGGAGAAGCCATCCCTAGGCGGGCGAAGAACCAGAAGACGGGCACGCGGAAGACGAAGGCGAGAAAAAAGAACGAAGGGTGAAACGTAGCTATGAAGAGGTGGCTGTCTTCCCTTTAATGAAACCTCGATCCTGGTTAAATGTGAAATTCCGCTGGTCTATGATAAGCACGCTGAGGTCAAATTGTCCGACAGAGCCGGCCCGGGGTCACACGATGGCTACACCCGAGGATTCCCCACGAATGGGGTGTACACACTTAAACTCCAGATGGAGGGTGCTAATCTTTCGAGTACAACTGGTAAGTTTCGGCTTGGATAAGGTTCTTCATGCATAAGTTTCGGCTCGCAATGCACTCGGCTTCCCTCTAGTGTCGAAAACGTTACCCGAAAGAACAAGAAGCACAAACAGCGCCGCAACCAAGGGGGCCAAAAGGACGTTGTATCACGGCAGGTACGTCAGTCCAGCGTCCTGGACTGATTTCACGATCCAACGGTGCGGTCTTCGTTGGGCGATGCACACCAAAGGAACCATCGCCCCCCTGCGCTCAATTGTGGTGACAGGGTATTCTGCCACTCCGCACACACACACACACACCACACACACACACACACACACACCCACACACGCACTTCAATACCCCAAGGGGTGGTTTGCGCACGCCATGCAAGAGAGGAGAGGAGAAACATGTTTGACTGTTTCGATTCGAGTTGGCTTCCGAGCGAACGCCGAGCAAACAGCCCCACCGTGTGCGTGCCGAGTCCCAGAGCCACCCTGACACCACATGTTCATTTCATATCAAGCAGACGGATGGAGCAGGCCTGTGGAGCTCCATCTAACAAAGCTCTCCACACCGGCCCGAGGATATCGCCAGGAACGCTTGGTGACGTACCTGCGCATCGTTCTATCAACAGAGCCGCTTTGTGTTGTGTTTTGCGCCGTTGCTTTACAAGGACCAATGGCTCCAGTGTTGAAATGTTGGCCTCGGTTGTCGGAAGATCTGCTGTCTACTGCGGATCATTGATGCCGCAGCGGTGAGCGTGATCGTGTCCGAAAAAGATGATCGCCCTCAAGAGGAAAGGCCGCCCGCTGCGATTTCCAAGGACGCAACGCTGGGAAACGGCATGCCGTTGGGAAGGAGGATCGGTTGCGCCATCCCGTTGGTTGCCTCACGACACAATTGCCGTGACCTAACCCAATGTGACTACCTTTCAATGATTCAAGTCTATGAGATGGTGCAAATCAAGGTCAAGTAAAGAAGTTAACCACAGCACAATGACCGATGACAAGTGACGCACAAATCATCAATTCCTATTCCAATTTTTCTTCATGCTTTCAGGTATTGGTCACGAATGGTCCGTGGCTGCTTCATTCCTCTTCAGACTCTGCCTCTATTGAACAGAAATCCGGCCAAGGCGGCAGAACTTGTCCAAAAGAAAGCATGGATGAATTATCTAAATATTGTGCCTTCCGGGTTGCTGCAGGCGCCATTGCCTGGAACCAACGCAAAGTGCTAGGGAAAAAGCACTTGCCAATGAAGCGTCCTGACACTGCTGTCCGTGACACACATGCAAAACATGAACAGCACTTCAGGAAGGAGAGGGCGCGTGATGATGAAGAAAGACATGCGCACCACCGGAAAACTTTGACCAATACCTTCAAGGTGCCGCAGGAAGAGGCTACTGGGCAGATGGATGCCTTTCGGCCAAAGTAGGAGTGCCTTTGGTAGTGCTGAAGTGGAATGAGGAAACCAGCTCTTGGGGCAAGCTCCGCGGTTCAACGGAGGAATTGCCCATCATGCCCGCAAGAATGGGCGAAAACTGTGGCGCGGCTCTGGCAAAGCCCATGAATGTTTGTCATTGCCGTCCAACACGCCAGAGCGGAAAAAAAAATGACAATGTCAGCATAACCAGTGCTATGCCTCAAGCGAGGCTGCCAGGATACTGTCCCTGCCAAGTAACACCCCAGGGACACGCAAGCCGCAGACATGGGGTGATGCGCAGACGACGCGGACAAACATCACTGCGCACACCACTGCGTGGGAGGCACGCTCGTCTTTACGTGTGAGACTGCGACGCAAGCAGCATCCGCAAAGGGATACAAGCCAGTCAGACATTCAGGCAGACTGGCATCCGCGCAGTGAGATGCGTGAAAACGTGCAGTATGCACCAGACACTGCACCGTACCCACGGATGCGCGCAGAAGCCAAAACAGATCTGTAAAGATCAGCTCGGCATCCAAGATCAGCAGACCTGGAAATGCCCCATATGTGAATATGACCTGGTCGTGCCATCAGGTGTCAATGCCAGAAAAACCTTGAGATCCAAAAGATGGAATCAGTTGACTAGCAGGCATACCAAAGAACAGCGTGCCGGAATACCTCAACTAGGGGATCAGCTGGAAATCATAACCCCCAGCAGCTCCATTGCGCCGAACATCAGAAGCTGGACCTGCAATCTGTGCGGGAAAGGGCTGCCGCTACACCACAAGAAAGCAACAATCGAGGCATCAATAAGAAAGCATTTTGCGGATGAGCACGCAAATAGCACACCAACTGCCGCACACCAGCTCAAGCAGCGCCATGAGCCGCAGCTCAGAGCCAGAATGCTGAGGCCATCATATAGGGGCCAGAAGGCCAAGGCCCAGCTGGACCGGCTGGATGCTGAGTCGCCACACGCTCTTACATACGACCCTCATATGTGACCCAACCAAACAAAAGCGGAAACTGCGAACCACTTGCCAACTAGTGTGCTCAATTTGCCGCAAGAGAGACGCGCCCATGCCGTTTCCGCGACATCGAATGCACAGCATGCCAGCAACCAGTCCCAGACAAAACCTGGAAAAAACTGCAGAAATATGTGGCCGATAGCCAAGAAAACAAGGCTGCAATCGTGAAAGCGTCTGCGCTGAGTGAAGACAGCTCTGTCCGCCAAGCAGCCAGGCCGACCTCCGGCTTGGTCTGTGGATCATGCCGATGATGACGCGCGCTCCTGGACCGAGAGACGGCGTCTCCTGCTTGCAGATCGCGGGCGAACACGTGCATGGCTAGCCACGAGCTTGATCGTCAGCTCGTGGTCGGGCTTCAAGTGCATCCGCTGGAATTACGCTCGAGTGAGACTACCCTCTCCAGATCCGGTGTTGTCATGGGCCGGGTGGCGGAGAGCAGCCTCCAGTTTGAGCGGCCAGACCTTCTGCCTGCCTCGGGGCAGTACTGCTCCTAGCTTGAACCCAAACAACCCTCAGCACTTCTTTCTCACGGGTTGCTTGAAAGTTGCACCTGGAGCAGGAGGAAGCATTGGCACAGAGTGAGGCCCCTTCCAGCTTGAGCAAGGCTGCGAGGGCTGAAGCGCACGCGGTCTGCAGGGCGGTTCATGAAATGGTGAAGGCGTCCTCGGCTGAGGTCGTCCGCCCAGTCAGACGTCCGGGCACGTGTGTGGGCTGCAAGTGTGCGTGAGCCCAGGTGGCCACCAGTTGCAGAAACAATTGCAAAGGCCAAGAAGTGCTGAAAAGCTTGTTGAGTGGCAGAGTTGTCCGTGCCGGACAGCAGGCTGAAGGAGTAGTGACTCCCTCCGATGTGCGAGTGCGTGGCCTGCAGCAGTGCTAACTGGGCTAGGGT